TTTTTATCTTGTTCATTTACCGTTATTTGTCAACAACGCTGTCTAAATCCACGCATCACCGCTTTACATAGTATACAGTCCATAAGAAATGTAAAATGATCGCCATTTAGTTTTATATTGCCAATGCATTAGTTATGGAGATTTTTGTTTTGTTTATTTTTTGTTGTTTGTAAACAAATCTGCCTATCTTTTTGCATTGTCTCTTATGGACATATACTATGTACAGTGTAATGCAAAAAGATTTGTTTACAAACCAAAAAAAATAAACAAAACAGAAATATCAGCTGTTACTTTTCCACGCGACCATGTCGTGTAAGAAAAGTATTGCGATCACCCCGCATTTTTTTGATCCATTAAAAATCAGTTGTTTTTCGATTTTTGGATGCCGACCACCTTGTGGTTTTGGTTTGATGTTTCGAAAAAAATGTATACCCAAATTAATGATCGAACTGGTGTTTATATTCTACGCGTGAACTCTTGTGCGAAGAATAACTCCCAGAAGTCGGAACAAGTTTTTAATTTCGAAGTACAAAAAATACAGAAGATTGACATCATGTTATGTCGCTTCAACAGTCATTCTCGCAACCGCTAAGCAGGTGTTAAATCCAATTAAATGAGCATATGTCACAAGATCAGACAGCACGTACTCCAGCAAACATTTCAACTTGCTGGGTGATTTTTAACTAATTATACACAGGTCTTTTTCACCTTTTTTTTAACCATATCGAATGAACTCGTTTGCAGAATATTCGACAACTTCATGGAGTGTCTTTGCGCTTGTCACACTCGAATGGTAAATAAATTAGAATTTTTTCAAAGAATGTGTTTCAGTCTTTTGTTAACGTTCACTCGATCAACATTCCATCTCGATTAAATTATAAAGTGAAAAAAAATATCTGAGAGTGAATTTTGTGATGGTTGTTTTAATATTAACAACGTTTCTGATTGTCGTCGCCTTGGTGAGGCATTTGATGTATTTGTATCGCATGGAAAGCTATGTGAAACATTTGAAATCGACCCATCCACTGTTACCCATAGTCGGAACTGCCTATGGCATGATTGGAAAATCTGCCACTGACGCGTATAAAGAGATTCTTCGATTTGCGAAAAGCAACGACACTCCAGTGAAAACTTACATAGGCTCAACACTGGCTCTTACGGTAGATAAACCGGAAGACATAAAAATTATCTTGTCTTCGCCGATTTGCTTCGATAAACCGTTCGTATTTGACTTTTTACCATATCGTGCCGGAATTTTTACCACTACATGTAAGCAACTTCATCAGGAATTAAAAAGCTTTGGCTATTAGCCAAAAATGGATTTTATTTTGAGTTTAATCAAAGAGCAATTTTTGTTTTCAATAAGAATTTTCTTTCATTTTACAAAATGCGCTGGTGTTTTTATCATCATTTTATTTCGTATTTGTTTTTGCTTGCATTTACGATCTTTTTTTTTCTAAAATAAAGTGAGTGCTGTTTGGAAACCCATTCGAAAACACTTGAATCCGACGTTCAGTCTCAATGTGCTGCAATCATTCATGCCAATATTCAACAAAAAATCGACAGTTTTGCTTGAGAAAATGGATACAGAAGTCGGGAAGGAGGAATTTAATGTTTTTCCATACATTCAATGGTCAATTCTGGACGCAATTTGTGGTCAGTGGCATACTTTTAACACAAAACTAAAAATATATATATAATTGAAAAAAAGAAAAGATGAAGAGGAACAAGGAACAAGAGAATATTAGATAAAAGAAACATTTTCAAATTTCGTTTAAATTTCTAGAAACCACAATGGGATTTGATTTGAAGACACAATCCCATCTGACTGCTGACTTCTTTAACAGCATGGACGCGTTAGTGTCAAAATATTGAAAATGATGTTTTCGCTCTTTTTCATTACATCAACTGTGTTAATTTTAAACCATTTCCTTTCTCCTTCTCTCCAAATTATTCGATCGTAGCTTCTTTTGCCTTGTTCTGAAACGATTTATAAAACCGTGGTTCCACGCAGACTTTATTTATCAATGGACACCAATGTACAAAATTGGACAAAATCATTCGGCCAACGTTCGATTACTGACAAATGCGGTAAGCATTTCGATTAAAATCAATCGATTTTTGCATATTCTATCACCGTCTGATTATTCGTCTGAAGAATAAGAAATAATTCCATTTTTGACGTTGACCAAATTTTTCATTTTTCAAATCCAGTTTACTTACGTTATTCATTAAAACAAAAAGATTTATTTTACAGAATTTTTTCAAATTGTAACAATTTTTAGATATTCGAAACGAAAAAAGAAGAATATTTGGCTGAAAACAACAATGACATGGCGAAAGCCTTTGAAACAACCGAAAAGAAGCCACAAAACGCGATCGATAAGCTCCTGAAGTTGTGTGATGATGGCGAATTCGACGAGGACCTTGCAAAAGAGCAAATTGAAACCATTTTGGTAAGATTTTTATGATAATTTTGGTAACATTTTCAAAATTTACCAAATTAATTTCAGGTAGCCGGAAACGACACATCGACCGCGACTGTTTCATTTACGATTCTTATGCTAGCAATGCATCCGGAAATTCAGGAACGACTTTATCAGGAATTACGATCAGTTTTCTCAGAGCAGAACGAAGATATGTCACAGCAACATCTCAATCAGATGCCATACTTGGATTTGGTGTTAAAAGAAACGTTGCGTTTATTCCCCGCCGCACCGTATCCACTTCGATGTGCATCAGCCGATATTACAATTGACAGCTGTACCATTCCAAAGGACGCAATGATTTTACTTTCAATTTTCTCACTGCATCGGGTAAGTTATCGCTCGTTCTTTTTAAACAAAAGTGATTTTTACAAGAATTTGTAAATTCAAATTTCGAACTATACTTCTTACACAGAGACAAGATGTATGGGGTGCAGATGCCGATCAATTCAATCCCGATCATTTTCTACCAGAGCACATGAGCCAGCGACATCCATTTGCATTCATACCATTTGGTGCTGGACAAAGAAATTGCATTGGTAAAGAATAACGAGAAAAAACTCTATCAAATTATAAGAATTAATTTTTGAATAATATTATTTTTTTACATTTTTCAGGCTATCGATATGCCATGATCTCAATGAAAGTGATGCTATCAGCGCTTTTGCGACGCTACAAATTCACAACAAACTTAAAATTGAGCGATATTGACCTGAGATTCGAAATGGTTTTAAAACTAGCCCAAAAACATATGGTGCAGATCGAACGACGACGGTGGTAGCGAATCAACCAATTCACATGGGTGTTGAATGTCATTCAACGCCACTAAGCTGTAGACATCTCTCTCCGGCTATACGGTAAACAACAGAACCAACACTGAACATGAAAATGACATGTTCAATTGTGTTTGTTTCGTTAGTTTCAACTGTGCCGCTACGAGAGGTCACTTTTGTCGTTTCTTTTTGTTATTTTACATATAAAATCAATGGTATTAGACGAGGATGCAAATTCAGACATTCATTCGTTTCTTCGTAGCAAATTTCGAAATTTATTCATTCGTACCAAAGCTAAAGCTCAGCATTTCAGCGCTCAAAACTGACTGAAAATTGTTCAATCTAATTGAAAATGATGTGTCTCGAAATTAAATATCAAACATTTTAAATAAAAATGTTAATGGTTGGACGGTGATTTGTAATTTATAAATTAGTTTTCGAAATTCTTTTTTAGAATGTTTTTTGCAGGTACAACTTTAAATAAACTGGTTTGCAAAATGAAATATTCATCACCCAAATCGTTTGAAAACACTGTCAATTCTTTTCACATTTCCATTTGTCATTGTTTGTATAATTTTTAGAAACATGTCGCTTAAATTAAGTGATGAATAACGATGATATGGTGAATAACATTTTTGTGTGTGAATTGCAGCATATCGACGACGCAAGTCACTGTATAAGTGGCGTGCGTTGATGTGCACAGCTACATCGACTACACACAAACTCTGCGCTCTCTGTTTGTGTGTGATCGATGTAGCTGTACACATCAACGCACGCTACTTATTCAGTGACTTGCGTCGTCGATATGCTGGGATATATCCACTGCATTCGAAATGCTGAGCCATCCAAAAACGTATGTTTGATACACCCATGAATTCGAATAGAATTGAAACGCTTCAAAAACAAGTTCATCTGTTTTATATTTGTTACAGAATTCGGCTCCGAAAATATTCACCTTCTTGGACAATAGCAAGTTAACATATTGGCAAGTTATTCGCGAGTAATGTAATAATAACTTCACCTTGCCTTAAATTTCGTTGCGTATTCAGTTCACAAGTTGACACAAGCGGTCGAAACTGAATGAATATAAAATATGAAAAATGTGACCGACATGAATTTAAGCCGAGTATCCAATTCATATTGATTTTAATTGAGGTGATAATTGGATTAATTTTTCAACAAAACTTTGTATTTCTCTGAATTCAGTGTGCTAATTTTTCGAATGCCATTTGGATTAAATGATATACATGCCAAAATCCGATTTTGCTAACAACATTTAGTTTCTGTTCATTATTTGGCAACTTATAACGTATTGTCAGTGCATCTGCGTAGTTTGTTCTACTTCATCCAAAAAATTTCGAAGAAGAGAAATGATTGTGGTTGCTTTCGGTGGCGTGCAAAGTACGACGCGAACGACGCAATTGCGTCGGGCGGCACTTGCCGTGGGGCGGCAAAATTGCGAGCGAAGCGAGCAAAAATTTGGTATTTTAGTAATAAAGGTAATTTTTGGGGCGGCATTTTGGGCATCTGCGTCGGGCGGCACAGCATCTGCGTCGGGCGGCACATTTGCTTTGCACGCCACCGGTTGCTTTGATTGTAATTTTGATTGTTACTGCTCTAGTGAAATATTTTCTACACATTCGCCATTTGGAAAGCTATGTGAAGCACTTGAACATTAGGCGACCGGTTTATCCGTTTATCGGGAATGCTCATATCCTATTTGGAAAATCAACCACTGAGGTGTTCAAAGAGATTATGGAATTTACCAAAAAAAACGAAACACCATACAAATCATATATTGGACCGGCCCTTCTGATTACGCTCGACAAACCAGAAGATCTGAAAACCATTCTTACCTCACCATTTTGCCTGAGCAAACCATTCGTTTATCAATTTTATCCAAGTCCAGCTGGCATTCTAACCGTCCAATGTAAAATTGTGATTTGATTTAATGGAAGAGTTTATTAGATGAAAACTTGTCATTTTTTGTACAGGGTGTTTTTTTTAATTTTTTTTTTTTAAATTTCAAATAAAAGGCACAAATTCCGATATTTTGATCGTACCGCTTGGTTTATTTGATAGATAAAACCTTGCAATTTAATGTCCGACATACAGTTTGGGGATATGACCACCTCCCCTCC